TCACATCCTCGTTTACTTACATTCACTTTTTTTCTTCATTCAGGAGAATGAGCCGACCAAAAGTGAAGGAGATGCAGGCTCCCTATAGGTTACACTAGCAAAGCATCTGTTTGCTGAAGGTGCTAGCATAACTAATGCTATGTCTGTTAGCTGTTGAATGGTGTTCTTGGTGTTAGCTAATTTACTGAATAATTCCTCACTGGTTTTATTAGATATGATGAATTCTGATGTTCAGTTTTTCTGTTGATTTTTGCATCAGTTAATCTCATAAATATATATTCTAAACCACTTCAGCAATGCAGTTCACTGTCCACAGGAAACGAGCACACACTGGTTAAAATCTGCTTTGAAGTATTTTGTGTCCTAAATGTTTCATTGTGTGTTTATGACTGTGTCATATTTTTACTATATTACACTCAGCATTTTTTAAATAATAAAAGGTGATCGTATGTCTCAACCACACAAAGAGACGCCCTTGTTTGTGAAGGTCCAGTCAGACTCAACAGGATACATCTTTAGTGACCATTCATTTTTTCACTTTTGTCTTTAAAGAATGAAATTTCTCTTTGTTTCTAATGCTGCATTTTCTTATCACAATTGCACATTACAGCAGATAGTTCTTGGGTTCCATAGCAACAATGTGTGTGTAACTCTGGGAGAGGGTGGGGCGTTTGCAAGTGAGAGATCACTGCAACATGAGCTGATTGGAGTACGACGCTTGTAGAGTACGTAGCATGTCAAAGGTCAGAGTTCAAACCAAAGAAGCATGCTCATTATTCCCAACACGTTCATACAGACCTACTCTTCCTGTGTGCTTTTATGTTCTTATCATTAATGACTCCAGTTTCTAATGTCCGGGTTACAACGCAGAATACCTTTAGCTACAAAGAGCTGCAGGTGAGCTGTGTGTTATTTTTGTAGTAAGTCGTCATGATTGTCGGAGCTCCCCTGTGCCTGTTGCTCTCACTTCATTAAAAAGATTGCTGTTGACACTTTGCACATCCATGATAGCTCACCCAGATGACACACAGAACTGAATAATTGCACCATCGGGCTATTTAAAGTACCGTTGTTGCCAAGGTAAGCACAGCGGCTTTGTGACACGAAATTACATGAAACCAACTTGGTTTCACTTCATTATTTCATGAGAAAAAACAATGAACTCAAGATAGTGTGGAATTAACCAAATTTGTACTCGCATTTTGAGTTGTTTTAATCAACACAATTATTAAAATTCCTTCCATCTTTCTGAAGGCTAACCACATAATCGTCTTGTCGTGGCGTTTTGAAACTAGTGCAAGGAAAGATGACAGATCGAAGGCAAAACATACAGGAAATATTTGACACGAGGAAAAATACAACTCCATTTATTTAGTTATGATTACCAGACATGTAATTTTTTGTCAGTTTAAAGGTTGAATATGCAACATGAACACCAAAGCAACATCTATTATGTGGAGATTGTGGTTGCAACAATAGAACAAGTTTTCCAGCCATCGGGATGCCAGGTTAGCTGCCAAAACGTGAAGTGACCAGCCAGCACAATGTCCAGTGACAAACTGTACAGGGTAAGGTCTAATTTAAAGTTAAATTCCCATAAGTCATCACACACTGGTGAAATTACATCTCCACATCTGATCCATCCTCGTCAGGAGCGGTGAGCTGCAGCACTGGCTGTGCTCCGAATCAATTTGGTGGTTCAACCCTCCAATCCAACCCCTTAAAGCTGAGTGTCTAGCAGGGAGGCATTTGGTATGACCCGACCAGGATTTGAATCCTGATGTTCTAGGCCCAGGGCAGACACTCAAACCACTAGGCCACTGAGAAGGTTTCTACCAATACTAATTTCTACTAATAAGTGTATTTAACAACAGTATTTAAGGTATTCCTTTTTATTTTTTTACATTTTACAGGCCCAGAAGCAGCTGCCTGACCTGCCGAGTCCGTCATTTTCCACACTGCCAGCCTTGATGTGCCGAGCAGACTGTTCACAGTATTTGGCAACCTGCGATGGTGCCCTCTACTGGTTGGTAGACATAAACACAAACCCAGTGTTGTGCCCGTCAAAATAAATATGATATATTTTTAATTAAAATGTAGCTTTAAAAGGAAATTCTGAACTTTTATTCTGCAAACTTCCAAATGCCCTGTAGAGGTTTTATTTTTAAATCTAGCTTTCTGTTGAGTTGTTCCATTTTCAACCTTTAATTTATAGATACATTTTCTAAATAAGTAATTTTCTAAAAAAAAGTAATTTTACACTTAGAATACAAAACTTTTAGTTTGTATGGCATTTCAACATGTATTCATAAGTTGATGAAAAAGCAATTATCATCATATAGTTCAGTATACAACAGTAAACGTGCACATATAGATATATTATAAACATGTATTTTCTTATAGGAAGTAATCGTGCCTCAACCTTTTACAGTAAACAACAACAACGTCTAATGGCTCAGAGCAAGAATCGGGTCTTTATATAACGCGGTGAGATGTTTTGAGAAAGTGCTTCTGTGATCATTTAGAACCTGCAGCTGGCTTAATTTCATTTTTCCTCATGTTCTTATTCCTGTCTTTAATGACAAAAAATGTAATTTCGCCCATGCCAGGAGCTCAGCTGCAGTCTCACGTGAAAACGGTGCAAATAGCTCACACCTGTTGAGCTTGATGGGCAGGTTTGAGCCGTCGTGCCATTAGCAGCGATTGTTTTAGGAATCTGACTCCAGACTCAGAGTAGGGGTAGAACGTGGTCGATGACGAGTGATGCGCAGTGGTTTGTGACAAAAGCATGAAAGCTAATAAAGTATTATGTCCCTGAGCACTCTACGCTTTAAAAATTCATGCTTCCAGATTTAAAGGTGGTAATGAGTAGCTATTTTGAGCGTCTCCTCTGAGTGACTCTCTCTCTCTCTCTCTCTCTCTCTCTCTCTCTCTCAATCTCTCTCTCTGTGATTGGATGAATGGCCACAGCTGGCAGTCAGTAACAGTAAAGTAGAAACCCGCTGCTCCGAGAGACTCTCTCTCTCTCTGTGTTTCAGGCCAAGACGTACTTGGCAGTTCTATGAGGAAATTGATCAGATCCAATGACTGGATGTGTGTAAATAATAGTTTAGGACCTCAGCCTGCGCCCAGAGGGGCATGTAGAGGCACCATACTGCAGAGTGTGTACAGTAGCAGAGGCAGGTGTGAAATATGGCCCTAAACTTTCTCCCCCGTCCCACGAGAGCTTTTAGCCTTTAGCTCAGCATAGAGGGTTGTCCCGGGCTATTTACAGAGAGGGGACTTATGCAGGCCAGTGTTGGGCACACTCTGTAAGAAGACACTGCAGCTCAGATCGTTCCTGAGATAGAAATACTGTCTGACTGTGGCCTAATGGTGGAGAGTACTTTGGATTTATTTAGCCAATATAATTATAAGAAGCATGCAGACTTCCATTGCAGTGTGGTGGCCTGCTGAGCAGCATCTCTGGAGTAATCTAAGAGTAAGTGGCTGTCACAGAGGCACCAGAGCAATTGCTACTGAAGGAGGAACGCCCAACTGACTTTCTGCAGTCTGGTTTCCATTTTTCTTATGTGGCGTTTCATTTACCTCAGATATCAGTGCTCTGTTGTGAGAGTGACATCACAATCAGTTTATCTGCAATGAGGTCTGCATATCGGTCAGCTTATTAGCAAAAGGGCAACATCGTTTTTTGCAAACATTGTAGTAAGATGTTTCCTGACTCTAACTGATGGAACGGAAAATTATTACTGCTGCTATCATCACCTTCATGCTGCCATGTTGATTTGAATCTCTAGCTTTCTGAGCAAGGATACAGATGGATGTCCTGGAGTACCTGTTCTCTGTTGTTTGTTGTGTTTCATCGAGTCTTTTAATCTAAATAAAGGATTCTAGAACTCCCATGCAACCAGTCCAACATGACAGACCCAACAAAAGGTTGATGTCCCAACACTAAACAGCTCCAGTCGACAAGGGCCACTAAGCTGTATGTTTCCCCTGACCCCGATCTGGGTCAGACTGGTTAAACTACCTGATCGGTTTACCTTCTGTAGTACTGTACTAAAACTTACGGGATAGTGGCCCTCGTGGACTGGATTTGGTGACCACTGCCATGGGATCATTGTGATTAATCAGAGCATGAAGTAAAGTCATTATTACATTGGGATGCTTCCCTGTTGCAGCTTTTCTAGACAAACTCCGCTGGAAAAAGTTGTCCCATAGAACAGAACAATGGAGGGTCTTACACATCCTCTCTCCCTCTGACCTGAAAATCTCCAAGCCAGAGTTTTCAACGGGTCCAAAAATTCAACCCAAAACTGAAACGAGTCAACGGACTCGGTATGACCACATTGAGCACGGTCTGAGCACAACCTGTTGTTTGTTTTTAGTGCATCTTCATGTCACTCTATGAGGGAATGCTATTGCACCCGTGCTGTCCTCTACTGTGCAGCCAACAGCACCAACAACCACCTCTACTTCTGCCTCAGCCTGACTTGGCCCCAAAATTAACTCAGTCGGCTCGACCCGATGGATGGTTGGATGGATGGATGGATGGATGGATTTTGACCTTCACAAATTTGTTCTTAACCCTCCCACTGTCCTAATGGGTGTGACCCTGCGAGGAAAGTTGACCATTGAGCAGGGTTGATGGTTTATCCCTTGAGGTCCATGTGGCAGGGGTGAGGTGGTGCTCTCTCCTCACCCCTGCCACATGGACCCAAGGGATAAACCATCAACCCTGCTCAATGGTCAACTTTCCTCGCAGGGTCACACCCATTAGGACAGTGGGAGGGTTAAAGCAAAAATTATAATTCAAGAAAATTCTAAAAAAAAAAAAAATTAAACTCACCCTAAAAAGTATAAATGGTGGCTTATTCCTAAACATTCTTGCTCTGACACTTTCTACCTTTTGTCACTTAATCCTCATTGACTCCCTACTTACAGCATTTCCACACATAAATCACAGATTGAACAACCGCCATGCTTCCGGAGCGACCCACCTCCAAAGACATCTCCTCAATCTGGAGCTGCTTCTTTGCACCTCGGTTCCCGTCCACGTTTTTGTGATAATAAATGACCATCACATCATACATCTTCATGATGGACTTGTAGTTCTTGGCTGTGAGGGTGTGCACTCGGTCTTTGCCATCATACTCAGGGATTTCCAGGCCCTTCTCCCCATAGGACAAACTCCCCAAAGAAAGAAAGACCCCTAAAAACATCCATCCCCACTTCATGGTTAAGCATTAGCTGCACAAACACTACTTAGTGCCTTCTGAATGTGGGGAAGAAGAGGTCGAACGTACACTTTACGTAATCCCAAGTGGTTTCAAGCGAGGAGAGTTAGGAAGGAGGGTTAGTGCACCTCCTGTCCCCACTGGCTAAAGAAGAGCAGGTCTGACATTGACACTCTCTTTAAAAAAAGACCATCGCATGGTTTCCTGACTCCATTGGTTGAGGAGAAGTGGGTGGGACCCTGTTTAAGGTGCAAATCTAGGAGGTATAACAAATATACATGAGCCAAAAAAGTAGGAATCAGAGTGGTGGGAGAAGGGGGCACTTGGGTTACAACATAGGAGGGGTCATCCCGCCACCTGTTAGAGGCTGTTACCATGAAAAGGAACCATGATTGTGTTGGGTGTTTGCAGATCTGCAGATCAGAGATCAGCGTCACGGATGTCCGAAGGTTTAGATGGATGGATGGTGTGCAGAAAGAAGACTTTCAAGATGCCATTACCCTATCAGGTTTAACCGAAACGACACTGGGCAACCACCGTTTACAGGATCGGACAGTAGAGGTCCGCTGACAGATAAAGAGAAACAAATTTCCTGTAGCTAAGTAAAAAGAACATTCCAGTTGTGTTCCGGTCACAATAGACCAAGTTCTCTAAGAAAGGCTGCTCCTTGTATCTTATGAGTCCATGAATCTGTCTCAATGAAGCATCAGAGCATTGGATCTTCTTTGTTTTCAGCTACTTCTAGATGTTTTGTTCCATTTTTGTACACAAACTAACAAACATTATCCATTGCTGTGTGAGACTTTATTTAACTTGACTTCAGCAGATTGACAGAATTCCTCTGATTTTTTTTTTGAATGATTGAAATAATAACTAACTATCATTATTCAAACCTTAATCCAAAATATCCCATTTACAGCAGCTGCTATGAGTGTGATTTTAAGGTTTAGCTGGAAAAATGAGCCTGTTACATGGCGAGAGGGAGTTATACTGCAGCCATCCACTGGGGGGCACACCGCTTCCTTCTGACTTCAGTTATGTTCCTATTCAAATGTGCGAGCTGTTGGGGCTCGAAGTTAGCAGCACATGCACACAATACATCACCCGCTTCCACTAAGTCTAATTCTTCTATGTTTATGAAGGACACACACCCACACACACATCTACTTACTGACTTCCAGGACAATCGTTTTTGGGAATCCACCGTTCTCCACAGAAACTAGACTTGTTATTCCAAACAGAAAATCACAACTTTGTTTCAGTCATTTTAGTCAGTTCTGAACCAAAAACACCAAAGGTGTTCTTCTGTTTGTGCTTACTCGTGAGGCATGCTGGTGGACTGTCTTTTATTCTGAATGAGGACGGGTCTCGTGAAGAGACTCAGCGTGGGACCAAGTCAGCTATTAGTTTATCATGAGAAAGGGGAGTGGGTGGCTATTAATACCAATCTGTAATCTGATCCGTTTTCTGCCCCTGCGAGGGAGGCGGTTTAATCTGTGTGATGCCAGAAAGGTTTGGGGCAGTCAGACTCTGCTGCAGTCAGAGCTTCGTCTCAGTGTGACTCTTTAACGTTCTGATTTATGAAATGGAGCTTAAATCCTGTTAGTGAGATTTTACACAAAGTCTGAACAGTAAAGCTCTTTATGTCCTCTTTGTTTTAAAGATTATTTGGTCAAATTCCAAAACAATATCACATTCATTTAGGTAGGTAAAAGTCTGTCCAAGACTCAAATTGATTTTGGATTATTCAAATAATGCAGCCACTGAATGGCATCAGTTTGGAGAAATAGAGTTTACACCGTATTGAGCTGATGAACCAGTAGTTGCTGAGTAAAACCAAAGACACACTGCTGCGGACAGTTTCAAAAACAGATCAAATGACAGCTGCTGTTTTGGTTCTGATCTGGTTTAAAGTTTATCGGCCCTCTGGGGACCTCTAGTGGCCTGGAGGGTCCAAGCTATTGCCTGCCCTGCCTGTCAGCACACAGCGCCTCTGCCTTTCACCTGATAACTGCATGAGATAGACACCAGCTCCCCGCTGGCCCAGTGAGGATGAAGTGAAATAGTCAGATGGCCAAAAAGTAACAAAAACAGATGTTAAGATGTTTATGAAATCAACAATTACTAAATTTAAATGAGGCTAAACAGACGTTGTGTAGCATGTAGACGAACAACACTGGAGTTCACCAGAAGCAAAACTCAGGTGATGATGATGAAAATGCTAAAAGAAGTCAAACCGGACCTTTGCAAAGCTTCAACAAAAGTTAGTCAGCAGTTTACTAATCCCAGCTCTATTCATCAACCAGGAGGCGCTCTGCTGTACTGCTGACAGGCCAACTCAGACACTCAGCTGTTTTGTCTCTGCTGTATTAAAGATTCTGACAAGAAAAGTGAAGAAAGACATCTGTTGGATTTGTCACATTTCACAGACTCATCAGAGAACACGCTGGCAGATCAGACAGGGCAGATCGAGTCTTCTCTCTTCCTCCATCCAGCTCCTTCTGAGGCGTGTTACCAGGTTTAATTAGATTTTCACTGCTGCTTCTGCCTCCGTCGTCCAACAGTTGCCCCTCTGAGGACAACGGCTCCCTCCTCTGGCAGCAGCTCATTATAACTTCATTACTCCTCCCTCCATGTCCTATTAAACGGTCTGAAGAGAGAGAGAGAGTAATAATAACATATGTACAGGTTTCTGCAGAGATCATTAAACTATGTTTGCTGTTTCTACGGCAACTGGGGGATTGAATCACACATCCAGGTTTCTCAAAGGCACAATTATCCAAACACACAGACGAAACCGAAGCTAATTTATTCTTCTAAATAAACCAGAATATTGTCCGTTATTTATATTGCTTTAAAATGATAGTACTTGTCCTGGTGATAGGGTTAGTAGATCCCTAAATCGTTGTAATCCAGCAGCATTTTTGTGTTAGAGTAAGACTTTACCAACGGATGCCCATTAGGGTCAAAAAGCCCTGGAGAGTGCAAACTTTAGCTAAATAACAAGCACATCAGATTCCCTTTCATAACTGGCAACAAGTGAAGAGGAAAATGTGTCAAACAACAACATTTAATAATGACGAAGGTTTTTGTAACCATTTGTTACACATCAGTAAATGCATTTTGTCCTCATGGGCTCCCGTAGAAGGAAACATGGCATCTAATATGGTGCCGCCCAGAGACTTAGACCCGTTCCCGTGTATTTTAGACCAGATTTTTATGGTTATATGTTACAAAGCTGCCAATATTTTTCAACACCTGGGCATCATTTCATTATTTTTCAACAACATTTTGATGAATATTTCCAGAAATTAATGGTCAAAACTACACATTGTCTCTTTAACAAATTCATTGAGATATGTTCTGTTAATAAAAGTTTAATAATTGCACATTTTGAAATGACAGTTCACTTACAGCAGTTATCATACGTCATGTGAGTCTATGCCCGTAGACCTGGATGTGGTTTCCCTTCCTCCTCCATGGGAGACGTGTGACATGTGATATCTGGGTGCTAATGAGATCTAAAGGCTCCATCGCAGGGACAAAGAGTGGAGCGAGGGAGGTAGGAAGTGTCAAAAAAACAACCAGAGAGCGACTGGAACAAGAGGAGAATTCTTCTACAGATAATGATGCTTTCTATAAGTTGAGCCATTCATTTGTTTTTGTTTTAGAATCAGAATCAGAAGGGTTTTCTTACCATATGTGCGAGAATCGCAAAATTGTTGCAGTACTTGGTGCAAGAAAAATAAATGATAAGCAAAATTAGAATTAAGTAATAAACACAATGAAATTATGCTAATATAGGGAGTCAAGAATTAATGATTCAATCTGCTGCAGATGCAGCAAAAATCAAGGATAAATCCACCAGTATCATAGTGTTGTAAGCTTATGAGTTCTTCTCTGGAGTAGGAGAACCCAGACATACAATTTACACACAAAAACAAAACAAAAACAGTACACCAAGTACCACGGCGTCCATCTGCGGTGCCATCTTGGTTCAAGGAACCTGTGTTAAAATGTTTCTTTGTCAAAAAGAAGATGTGAAACTTCCTTTGTGTTCCCAGTTTTGCGAAATCTTGAGAAAAACAGCAAATATAATATGTAGACTTAGAGAATAGAATGTGACTAAAACATCTATTTGTATTTATAAAATAATCTGGTATAATAAGGGCTTGGATGGTTAGAGATTATCTTGAGGTTAATTAATATTTGGTATGAATATTGAAGACCCACCCTTTATTTAAACATTTTCATGTGTTGGTCTTCTTTTATAGAAAAAAAAAACAAGGAATAAATGAATTCATGAATACATTTATAAGCATAATCAATGAGTAAATAAATAAATCATGATTTTTCTCACTGGCTGTGCAGTGGCGCAGTGGATAGAGCTCTCGCCTTGCAGCGAGAAGGTTTTGGGTTCGATTCCCACCCTGGGATCGTTCTGCGTGGAATTTGCATGTTCTCCCTTTGCATGTGTGGGTTCTCTCCGGGTACTCCGGCTTCCTCCCACAGTCCAAAATCATGACTGTTAGGTTAATTGGTCGGTCTAAATTGTCCCTAGGTGTGAGTGTGTGTGTGTGTGCATGATTGTTTGTCCTGTGTGTTTCTGTGTTGCCCTGCGATGGACTGGCTCTCTGTCCAGGGTGTACCCCGCCTACTTGCCCGTTGACTGCTGGAGATAGGCACCAGGGGGTGTTCTCATTTAGGTAGTCTTAGATTTTCCTGCCCTCTTCCCAAGGAGGCCTGCCTATAGCCGAACTGGTCCAACACGCCCACTGCTGACTGATTGGCCGGCTCAAAATCCCGCCTACTCTTACGGGGAGCTTGCGATTAGCAGACAGTCAGCCTGCGTGCACACACACACACATGCACACACACACACACAGCAAAGCAGGATACAAAATTAGAGTCAGAGTCTCCAAAAGCAAGACTGCTCGGGCAGTTTTTGTTTAATAATGGAGACAACGCAGATTTCTCAGCGCTCTTTTTCCCCACCCACGTGCTTGAAGATGCGCTCATGACATCACTGAAATCTTTTTTTCGAGCCATTAATGCTAATGCTAATGTGCAAGTAGCATAAGTGGCCCCATTAGGTCACCCCATACATCTTTCTGGGGGCTTCACCCAGCCACCCTACAGTGGAAGCTGATTTTAG